TGTTAGCCAGGATGGTCTCGATCTCCTGACCTCGTGATCCGCCCGTCTCGGCCTCCCAAAGTGCTGGGATTACAGGCTTGAGCCACCGCGCCCGGCCTTGTTGTTTTTTTAAATGACTAACTTGATCACATCAGTATTGGAATGTTTGTATTTGTCCCAAGTGAAAGTGAATTTTAGGTATTTCCAATTTGTATATTGTGGAAAATATTTTTTAATACCTAAAGTTGACCTCTAGAATTGGCAGGATTAGGATCACAGAAATAGAGGCTTGTTAACAAGTAGAATCTAAAGACTTCTATTCTATTGTCCATTATGCAACAAATGAACTGGAAAATTGACCTGTGGAGTATATGAAAAATAATATTTTTTTCTGTGTCCTTACCTTGTTTGACCTACTGCAGTGGTTACATATGTGTCCTAACTGGCTTGTCTGAATGTTTCTGTTTAACACAAGTCCAGAGGGAACTGGGAACACACATTTACATATCAACTGGAGCATGGCTTAGATGTTTAAGGGTTTTTTTCTTTAATGTACATTTTTGTGCTTTCGCAGCCCTTGGTAGTGATTTAGCATCTGCTCCCTAAGTTTGTTTCTATTTGGGGAAGTCATTTGGTTTTTGTTTGGTTAATGCAGATGAATACTATATACAGAGGCAAGAGGAAAAAAGGGAAAAAAAAAGACAGAATTCTTTAGGCATGTAAGGATGTGCATCAAGAATTTCAAAGACTCTTCGAACAGATGTAGAGGGGTTGGGAAACAGCAAATTTGAAGCCTTTCAACTGTGACATTTTCTTCTAATGAAGAACAGCTTGAAAGCTGTAATTTTGAGAGTGTTGCAGTATTTTGAAGTCAGACACTTAGCACATTTTTAAAATAGTGGTGGGATTTAAATGGTTTTTTTCCATCTTAAGTGGAATTAAGCATTTTTGGCTATCATCTTATCTTGATAGTTTTGAGTCTGAGAATGAACACCAGAGAGCATTTAAAGTGCAGATAGGCCATGGCAGCCTCTCTTTTTTGTGCTTTATCTCCATTGTTTTCAAGATATGCGGAGGTATTTTTTTGTCGTTTTTAAACAGAAATAGTGAATTTTCTATTTCTAGTTATTCACAAATGACCTTAAATTAATTCGTTATTTTTATATTTTGCAGTACATTTTTATACCTGAAATTCCTGGTGGTGTGGGCACTTGTCCTCCTAGCCGATTTTGTCCTGGAGTTCAGATTTGAATATCTGTGGCCATTCTGGCTTTTCATCAGAAGCGTCTATGATTCCTTCAGATACCAGGGACTGGTATGTTTACTAATACATGTTTTCCGTGTGTGGGGACCATTCAGCTATTTAAAATAGGTGTTATTAGCAATAGTCAGGTGACTATGTTAGGATTAGCTTATAGGGTCCATTAACTGAAATTGACCTCTAAACTATTTTGTCTAAACCCATTGATCAAATAGTTACATTTTCTCCTGCTGTCCCATTCCAGTGAAACAGAACAGTGGAGGAAGCAATAATTACTCGGTAATTTGGAGGGCGGCAACCTAGTCTGGGGGTGGCATATCCCCTCCCCTTCCATTTCCCGTTGCAACCAATAAAGGCCATTCCTACCTTTAAAAAAAAAAAATTTGCTCAGTCCTGCTTTGAAGTGTTTGTGGGTTCCCTGTTGCTAGGTTAGTGATTGGATTTGAGGTAGAGTAGTGTTTCAAACGTTTTGGTCTCAGGGCCCCTTTTCACTCTTAAAAACTATTGAGGACTCCAGAGAGCCTTTGTTAATCTGGCTTATATCTGTCCAGATTTACTGTATTAGAAGTTAAAACTGAGAAAACTTTAAAATACATACTTGTTAATTCACTTAAACATAATAGGCCCATTACATGTTAATAGAAATTACATTTTTAAGTGAAAAATAGCTATATTTTCTAAAACAAACAATATAGAACAGTGGCTTCATTTTTGTAAATCTCTTTAATATCTAGCTCAATGGAAGACACCTACATTCTCATATCTGCTTCTGAAGTCAGTCTGTTACTGTATCACATGTCATGTAACTTACAGAAAATTCCACCATATGCATGAGTGAGTGTAAAAAAGGCAGATAACATCTTAGTATTGTTATGAAAATAGTTTTAACCTCAAAGAGCCTTTGGAGGGATCTCAAAGATACCCCAGAAATCCCCAAACCACATTTAGACAGCTGCTAGATTGGAGCAAGCATAGGCCTGGGCTTGTTCCCTTGATTAATGTGTTAATTCTGTTGTGTTCTACAGCCACATCTTAAAACTATAACTCTCCCACCCAGGCCTGGTGCTTTGGTCAGAGCAAATCCATGCTTTAAAAAGATAGTTTCAGCTCATGTTCTATTGGCGATTGTGGTGTCCAGAGGAAAACTGCATTATTAAAATTATTATTAGGTTGGTGCAATTACTTTTGCCCCAATTACTTTTGCGCCAACCTAATAACATCAGTATATGTCTTACTAATATTATGGTTCATCTGTGCTCCAGAAAGCCTGTCTTTTAAGAATGAAGCTCTTTAGGAATGGTTTGTGAGGAGAGAGAAGACTTTTCTGTATTAAAATTCTAGTTTTTTCAGGGCTGGTGGTGGTTCACACCTGTAATCCCAGCACTTTGGGAGGCCAAGGCGGGCGGATCACAAGGTCAGGAGATTGAGACCATCCTGACTTACATGGTGAAACCCCGTCTCTACTAAAATTACAAAAAATTAGTTGGGTCTGGTGACACGTGCCTATAGTCACAGCTACTCAGGAGGCTGAGGCAGGAGAATCACTTGAACCTGGGAGGTGGAAGTTGCAGAGAGCCAAGATCGTACCACCGCACTCCAACCGGGGTGACAGAGCGAGACTCTACCTCCAAAAAAAAAAAAAAAAAAATTCTAGTTCTTTTAGGTAACCCACATTTATTTGGAATCCAAACGAATTCACTGTGGTCCCACCTCAGTTCATTCTGATCCAGTTCTTTTTCATGATTTGAGGACCATAAAGTAGTAGTATTCTTTAATGTTAAAGTAACCACTACTTTTTAATTTTATTTATTTTTTTTGAGACGGAGTCTCACTCTGTTGCCCAGGCTGGAGTGTGCAGCGGCGCAAGCTCCGCCTCCTGGGTCCATGCCGTTCTCCTGCCTCAGCCTCCTGAGTAGCTGGGACTACAGGCGCCTGCCACCTCACCTGGCTAAAGTTTTGTATTTTTAGTAGAGACGGGGTTTCACCGTGTTAGCCAATATGGTCTCGATTTCCTGACCTCATAATCCGCCCGCCTCTGCCTCCCAAAGTGCTGGGATTACAGGCATGAGCCATCGCACCCTGCCACCACTACTTTTTATATGGTTGATTTTAAATGTTTAAAATCTCCTTTTGTGAATTTGCTCTATAGTTACCAAGTTATCTCTTAGCAGTTTCAATAATTTTGTCCAACATACATTTAACAACATGTGGTTGAAAATAACAAGTTCTAAGATGTGTCTTTTATTTTGTTTTCTTTTTCCCTTTAGGCCTTCTCAGTATTTTTTGTTTGTGTAGCATTCACGTCAAATATAATATGCCTGCTGTTCATCCCCATACAGTGGCTTTTTTTTGCTGCTAGCACATATGTATGGGTTCAGTACGTATGGCACACAGGTAAGTCTTAATGATTGCTTAGATGGATAGAAATCTTAGATTCAAATTTTTTAATGTGGTTATTTCTTTGGATACATTATTTAGAGTTGAGTTTAATGTGGACATTTTAAAGTTTTCTTAATAGATTATAATATACCTTCAAAAATACATATATTTTTTTCATTATTTGAATCAAAACTTTAAGTTGTTATGATTTGATATTTCAGTTACAGGCATTGCGGGTACCAACTCTCACTCTGAATATATCTTTTTTTAAAAAAATAGTTGGAGTGATTTCTATCTAGGTATACTTGAAGATAGCCATGTGCCAAAAAAGAAAAAAATGTTCATGGAGTTTCATCATTGAAAGGAATGTCATTTAGATGAATCCTTAATTTGGCACAAGAATCCCCACAGCATCCCTGGCACATGGTGGTTTTACCTGTCATGGAAAACCTACAGTAACAAGGAACTTACCTACCATTCCTGGTACCCTACTCTGTTTTTGGGAGGTATAAAATAAAGTTCTTCCTCATATTAGCCAGAATTTTCTTCCTTACATTTTGACCCAGTATGTCTTAACTGTTTGGGGGCTTGTTGATTCCTTTTAAAAAGATTCTATTTATTTATTTTTTTTAGGATGGGGTCTCACTATGTTGCCCAGGCTGGACTTGAACTCCTGGGCTCAAATGATCCTCCCACCTCAGCCTCCTAAGTATCAGGACTAAGCCACAGCTTGCTGATTTCTTAGAGGATCTAAAGAGGTTTTCCCAGAAAAATACAAGGGAATGTGTAAAACTTTTCCTTAAAATGTCAAGGGGGACAGGCGCAGTGGCTCACGCCTGTAATCCCAGCACTTTGGGAGGCTGAGGCAGGCAGATCACCTGAGGTCAGGAGTTTGAGACCAACGTGGCCAACATGGTGAAACCCTGTCTCTACTAAAAATACAAAAATTAGCTGGGTGTGGTGGTGCATGCCTGTAATCCCAGCTACTCAGGAGGCTGAGGCAGGAGAATCGCTTCAACCCGGGAGGCAGAGGTGGCAGTGAGCCAAGATTGCACCACTGCACTCCAGCCTGGGTGACAGAGCGAGACTCCACCTCAAAAAACACAAAATAAACAAAACAAAAAATATTAAGGGACCTACCAGACCATCCCCTCAATCCCAAACATTGAACCTCTGCATTAGAGCCACACTGAATGAATGTGATCTCCCTTCCATGTTAACATTTCTTTAGAGATTTAAAGACACTGTCATAACCTCTTAAGTCTTTTCTGTAGGCAAGAACATCTCTGGTTTCATCAGCTTTTCCTTATTATTTTAAGAGCTTTTACCCTCCTAGTCTGCCTACCTCAGTGGTTCTCTACACTGTTGCAGGTGTGTTCTGACTAGAGTAGAGCTCCCTACTTCTTAGAGCTATACTTCTGTTACTTTAAACTAAGATCAGATGAGATACTTTGACAGCCTCAGCCCACTGTGAAAGCCAGAGTTTGGTATGCACTAGGATTTGAGGATTGGCTCTCAGAGTCAAACTTGTTTGCAAAACTGCGTGAAACTTGATTCTTGGGCCCAGCTACAACCTTTAGGATTTTGACCAGAGAGGGAGCACCAAATAATAAAAGCTGTCTGGACCAACATTCATCCTCTTCTCAGAACTGCTGAGATGATGATGTTGGCCCATGTAGAAAACACAATTGAGCTCTGTTTTTTAAAGTATCTGCTATGAATGAGCATGCTTTTCTCCATGTTTTACACTCTTTCATATCTGACTTGATTTATAAGCTACTATGAAGGTTCTTCAGTCTGCTTTCCTCTAATTAAAGTGATTTTTCTTCCCACCAGTTTTTAATTTGTGTTTCCTTATCCTGGGCCTCAGTTTCGAGTGAGCTGCCTTTTATACTTGTCACTCTCCCTAGGTCTCAACTTCTCTGTTATATAAAGGTGGAGTAATCTAAATAATGGCTAAAGAATCTTCCACCTCAAATATTCTGTGACTCTGAGGAGCTGTGGCGATTTCTTAAATTTCTTTAGTAATATCTTAGTAGTGGAGAAGAAACTAACCATATAACTATTAATAGAACCTATTGGGAACTGGTTCAGTGGGTGACCCACAGGGCAGCAGTGTAGCTAAAGTCATAAAATACTACTGGCCCCTCTTTAGCCCTCGGCTCAGAAATGAATATTGGAATAGCTAAGTTATGAAATATGTTTTGATTTGGGATGACTAGTGCTTAAACAAATGAAACAAAAAACTGCTTTTATTGGGCTGACAAAGATGAGTGCAATTTCTATAACTTGGGGTAGTTTTTCTTACAGTTGTTAAAATTTAAAATTATTTGATGACAATATTAGGAATGGTTGATGAAATTACATATGATTACAAAGAATAATATTGTAGCATAAGCTTTTTTCCTGGTGGTTAAGAGGGGAAAAAAACAGGATATAAAACTGTATGTACAATATGATTATTATATTTGCTCAAAAAACTTTCAATGTGATTTTGTTTATTTCATAGATGTAGAATACAGGTATTTTGTCTAATTTTTCTATTTTTTCTGTAATATGCTTATTGTGTTTTTTTTAACCTTATAAATCAATATAGAGAATAGGGCAGATAAATATTTGAAAATGCATTTTGAAATGATTTTGAAAATGCATTGTCCTGTGTGTTCCTGTTTTTCCTCCTACGTTGTGAAAATACCTATTTTTGGGCTGGGCACAGTGACTCACACCTGCAGTCCCAGCACTTTGGGAGGCCAAGGCGGATGGATCATTTGAGTTCAGGAGTTCAAAACCAACCTGGCCGAAATGGCAAAACTCTTCTCTACTAAAAATACAAAAATTAGCCGGACATGGTGGCATGTGCCTGTAATCCCAGCTGCTCAGGAGGCTGAGGCAGGAAAATCGCTTGAATCCGGGAGGCGGAGGTTGCAGTGAAGTGAGATTGTGCCACTGCACTCCAGCCTGGGCGACAGAGCCAGACTCTGTCTCAAAAAAAAAAAAGAAAGAAAGAAAAGGAAAAAAAGAAAATATCTGTTTTTGTTGTGTGAAATTCTTAAGAATGGTTGAGACCATTAGCTGGCTTCACAGAGCATCCAGTGTCAACTTCACTCAGGTACTAGGACTAAGGGAGGTTCTCCTCAGAAGCAGATTTAGTACTGTCTCTGAACTTGGGCCCAGTTTGTTTAGACTCTGGGGTTTACTCTTCAACAAAATGAGGAGGTTAGACAAAATGATCTTCCTAGTTTCAAGATACTATGATTTTTCTTTAGTTTCATCCCAAAGATCCTTAGCAAGAAGTCACTGATTTTTTCCCGCTCGTGCCCATGTAGTCCACATTCATAAATACCCCATCATTAGTCATGTCCTGATGTAGATGGACCTAGCCTGCAGATTTTGATTCCAAAAGCCAATGGACATTTGCCTTTATTTACATCTTATTTTGTTGCAAGTTGCTTTTTCCTCCCATGAAAATTGTTTTTAATTACAAAAGGAATATGAGTTTGTGCTTTAGAAAAAAATTTTTTGAAGGCCGGGCGCGGTGGCTCAAGCCTGTAATCCCAGCACTTTGGGAGGCTGAGACGGGCGGATCACAAGGTCAGGAGATCGAGACCATCCTGGCTA